AAAATTTTTCCAGTTCTTCCCTCACCACTATCTTTAATAGTGACTTTTGCTTTTTTTGAACTAGAGTGTAATCAAGTCTCCCAAATTGTCCTTCCATTGCATTTTGAGCAATAGACCCATTTACGCATTTGCAAATGGCAAATGTGTCGCAGACTTTTAAGTCTTAATTTCTCAAAAGCAAGCCTTAGCAATTTTTAAGAACTTTCCACTCCTATTTGTTTTTGTATTATTCATAAGAATCACTAAATGAACCACAAATTGGCCCTTAATTCTTCCCCTATTTTGAAGACTATGCAAATTCAGCTGATGAAACTCTAAGTGTGTGAAAGAGATGTCTGACAATCTTATGCACCTGAAGATGCACCTGAACTTGAAAGCACTTTGAAACAGTAACAGTAATAATAACCCTCACACAAATTCTTTTTGGAGCATTTGAAGGAGGAGAAGTGGGCTGAACCCATGGCGTGTAGGTAATTATTTTCTGGAAATAGTAACATTTTGAGAGGTAATGACTGCTACTCAAAATATCTCTGTTCTACAGGAGTGGAATCACCTATAAAGAGCCCAATCACCTGGCGTTGGGCAGGTGAGACTCACCCGGCATGGTTGACTTGCTCTAGTGGCCACTGCAGTGAACCCTAGCCAAGAGCACAGACTTCTGGGTTTCCTTGCGATTAACCAGCAAAGTGGCCTTGAGCCCACTGCGTCCCCTCCCTGTGCTCTGCTTTCCTTGCTTGTAAAATTCAGGGGTCGAACAAACATGATGGTCTCTTTTGGATTTAATATGCATTTCCTCACTTTTCGGCTGGTCCCCTTGGGAATACCAACCCATGCCACTCAAGCCACTCGGAAATCCAGTGAACGGTCATAACAGGCACACTGGCAATTCTTATTCAGATGTTCCTCATGATTTTAAAGAAGTTCTTTCCTTGAGCACAAACTTGTCCTCCAGTGGGAAAAGTGCCTCTGCCCTGCCCTGCCCTCGCCATCCCCAGGTGAGCAGTGGGGACCAGAGAGCGTTGCAGTGCCTTCCATTTGGACGGCCATTTGGATGACTTAGATTGCATTCCCAGGATGCATTTCTTCTCAGGGGGTCTCGGGTAGACACTGTCAGGCCGTTCATCTGGGCCAGGAGGGGGGATGGGGAATTCAGCACTAATGGCTCCAGACTATGTTAAAACCAGATCCATAATAATAACCAGAGACTGTGGTGCTAGTAGGTTCTAGGCTTTTCACAGAATTGCTTTAGTCCCCCCAGTGGGCCCAGGAGGTGGAAAGAATAACACAGCAGTCCCCCCTTATCCTTGGAGAATGTATACCAAGACCCCCCGTGGATGCCTGAAACCTCTGATAGTACCAAACCCTGTATATACTATGCTTTTCCCTATATGCACACATCTATGGTAAGGTTTAATTTATAAATTAGGCACAGTGAGAGATTAATAACAATGACTGATAATAAAATAGAACAATTATAACAACATACTATAATAAAATTTATGCGAATATGGTCTTTCTCACTCTCTCAAAATACCTTGTTGTATTGTCCTCACTTATTTTCAGACCACGGTTGACCTCGGGTAAGTGATTGAGGGGAACTGAAACCGTGCAAAGGGAAACTGTATGGAAGGGTGGGCTCCTGTCTATGGCTAACAATAATCGGAGAAAACACGGCCTTTCTCACGAGCCCAGGAGTTTCTCAAAACCATGAGGAGCATCTGAATAAAAATGTCTGAGTGCTTGTCACGTCCTAACTCATTTAATCTTCTCAGTGATCCTATTAAATACCTGCGAGATAGGAACTCTTATTTTCCTCATTTTCCAACTGAGAAAATGGAAGACTCAGAGAACTCATGTAACTGGCCACAGGTCACACAACTACTGAGCGAAGCGCATGGTGACACCTAACCTTTCACCTAAAGAAAGCCATGCCCCTTCCCCTCAAAGGGAGGCGGCACTTCCAGAAGGACTTTGTCTCCAGGGAAGTCTTGGCTTTGGGATTCAGGCCCCGTTCTAAGTTTAGACTCATTGGTGATGTTTGGTAGTGGGCTCAACGATTTGGCTTCAGTTAAATGCCACAAGCTCTCTGAAGATGGGCCCTGGCTGTCAGGGGATCCAGACCCTCCTCTCATGCCAGGAATGAGGGGACTCTTACCATAGGCCTTGGAATATTCTCCACCCCTCCTTTGGAGAGCTTCTTTTATGCCTGGGACTTTATTGAGCTGTAGCTTAAAGAATGAAATTCCGGGGTTTGCAGGGAGCTCGCATCCACATTGGAAGGCTCAGGAGCACTTAATGTCAGCAGCCTTTATTCATCCAACTTCTCTCTAGGGTGAAGGAACAGCCACCCATTAAAAAACAAATTATTAAAAGAAAAATTCCAAATCTTTAAAAAAGGCCCGTGGCAGCGAGCATTCCCACCCCTTCCCTTTTCTCTTCCCATAACCAATGAGCTTGCAGCACAATTTGTTTCTTGAAACTTTCGGGACATCAGAGTTCTGGTGTCCTCATTTTTCTTCCTTCCCATTGATGTATCATTACTAGAGTGAAAAAAGAAGGGCGTCTCGAGGGCTTTTGAAAAAAAAAAAAAAGGGTGACTACTCAAGACATTTTGTAAAGGGGGAAAAATTGCAAAGAAAAGGGCCCTCAGTAGGGGGTGCAGGGGCTGTGAATGTGGCCTTGTCTGGCGGTCCTTTCAGCTGAAACCTGGTGCTGGCGTTCCGTAGTTCAGTTCAAACTGTCACCTTTAGTTCTTGCTGGCTTTTCTGCCCTCTCCCCAGAACCTCAACAGATTGGGGCTTATTTACCTATTCACACTCCGCCGTGGAAGCTCATTAATAGGCTTATTAGCAACACCATTCATGGGAGGCCATTGACAAAAGGGGTTCCAGCCACTTGAAGAGGGAAGAGAAAAAAATCTGTAAAGAGATTATTTTCTCATTCAGAAGGCTCGTTGGTGTGAAGACTTTCCTGGACCGTCTGAGGTCACTTGAAGACTGAATACGACAACAGAATTGATTTTTAAAAAAATAATTCCAAACATGCTTTTTGCTTTTCTCAAAACGGAAGAGTTTCCTGTCGTGGGCTTGCAGGTTTCCCTCCCTTCACAATGAGCACTCGTAAGGCAATAAGGGGCTTTTGATGGATTGGTGTCTTTTCCTCTCTATAAAGGGTAAATTCTGCAAACTGTGTCTGGACATTAAAGTAGGTGTTCTTATTTGTCATTTTCAGGGGAAGGCTTCCTTTCCATTCAGCGTATAAAGCCATTGATGAATGGGGGACAGGGACAGCAGCTTCCTGCACCATTAATTTATGTGAGAATGTGTTAACAGCACTTTCAATGGCTGATGGGCTCTTGCAGGATGGGAAAGGAATCTGCCTGAGACACCAAGTTTCCCACTGGTGGGGAATGTAAAGATGTAGGTGCCAACCTCTGAGCAGGCAGACATGCAGCCCCGTCCCCTTTCTGAGACTGTGAAAACACATGGGTATGGTCAGAACAACCCAGGTGGGAGAGAATAGCTAAGTGTCACCTGGCTGAAGTATATGTTAATTAAAAGGCTCTGGGACTGATCCAGGTTAGAGGACTTGAGCAAAAACATCCTTTTCCCACCAAGCATATAGATGGATAAATTTGCCTGAGAATCAAACTATTATTTTTGTTGTCAGATTTCCAAAATACAATTTCATAACTGTTTGCTTGAGGCACTTAAATGGATGTTACTTCTGGCTTTAAGTCATTTGCATATAAGTTTTCTATGCTGTATTGTGAATAAAAATGATTTTCTAATCAGGTGGCACCTTGAAAAAATATTTTTGTCAATGTTATGAAGTGTGCAGTGTTAGTGACCCGGGTTGCAACTGCATTTCTAAATGCAGGAAAAGTCGATTTTCCACGTTAGTTTTGTTCTCACTGCTCCATCTAGGGTTTAGTGACCTTTTCTAAAGAAAAATAATTAAGGTTTTTATCTGTATGGTCTTGAACCTAAGCATGACTGATCAGGAGCTGGGTGAATGAAGGAGAAAAAGTATATTTAAAAATAAATTATCCTAAAGACACAGCCTAGTGAAAGGGTAAAAGGAAAATATGAACTTTCACCAGTTACAGCTTGATGTTCAGTTGAAGAATCGGATTTCGCATCTAAGATTTTGAATCTAAGATTCAGAGAGAGGAATTGCTTTGCTCCAGATCATACAGCTATTATGGCACAGTTCAGTCTTTAGACTTTTGAATTTCTTTTTATTAATACAAATTTGTATTACTAAACAACACATTTTGTTGCAGGTTTTGACTTTTTCTAAGAGCCACATTCAAAGTGAAGCTCTGTCAGTAGCCAGCTGTGTGATTCTGGGCAAATTACTTAACCTCTCTGATCCTCAGTATTTTAAATCAGAAACTGAGACTATTACTCTGCAGGGGGGTCGTGCAGATCAGATGCAATCATCTATTTAGTGTGCCCTGCGCATAGTGGGACCTCCATCAATAATCCGTTTGCCCCCACTCTCATTTCCATTGTTTAGAAGGACTGAAAAATGCTATGTCCTGCAAATATCCTCAAGTTGCTTCCTCTCCTCCATAAGCTTCAGTTGCATTAAGCTTTTCCCCGCAGTACCATGTAGACGCATTTTAGTCTCTTTACGGGGAGAGCAAGGGGAGAGCGTTGTGTCATTTGTTTGCTAACTCGACAGAAAACCACGTAACGCAGCCACTCGGGAGACGCTGGCCAGCCCATCTCGCCAGGGGGGAGGGAGGAGGTGGCGCAGCGCGCGGACCGGGCCTTATTGGGAGGATACCGTGGCATCCTCCGTCCCGGTCGCGCCGGACCCTCGCCTTCCCGGCCGTGTCTCCCGCGGTTCGGAGGCGTCGGGAGCCGCACGGGGCTCGGGCCGGGCGCGCGGCGCTGATTGGCAGAGCGGGCGCCGCCGTCCAGGAAACGGCTCGGGTTTCAGCGGGGGCGTGACCCGCGCGAGGAGGAGGCGGCGGCGCGGGCGGCGGCGGCGGCGGAGAGCGCCGCGGAGAGCCGAGCGGGCGGGCGGCGGGTGCGGAGCGGGAGCGAGCGCGCGGCCGCCACAAAGCTCGGGCGCCGCGGGGCTGCATGCGGCTACCTGGCCCGGCGCGGCGACTCCTCTGCGGGCCGGCGGGGGCCGGCCGCGAGCCCCGGGGGCCGGGAGGCCGCAGCTCTCCTGCGCGCGCTGAGCGTTCGCAACTTGCAAGCAAAGCTTGGTGGAGGAAACGCCGAGCCTGAGTCCTTTCTTCCTCTCGCTCCCCAAATCCGAGGGCAGCTCGCGGGCGTCATGCCCGCGCTCCTCCGCAGCCCGGGGCGCGCGTGAAGCCTCGAAGCCTTGGCACCGGCGGGGACGCAAGGACCACTTTTACTGAAGTTGCCCCGGAGCTCGTCGCTTGCTCCTCCCGACCCACGCGGGGCGCGGGACAGACCCATCGCGGAGGAGCGTTGCCATTCAAGGTAATCGCAGTGCCGGACGTCTTGGGGAGCTTCGCCAGCCGGGAAGGCGGGCGCCGGGGAGCCGGGACACCAGTGTACTGTCCCCAGGCGGAGGGCGCGGGAGAACTGGCATTGTGCAGGGCGCTCCCCGTCCTCGCTCTTCGGCTGCATAGGTGATGGGGGAGGTGGGTGCGTGCCGACGGCTGGCGTTTGGGAAGTTCTGCCTCCTCCACCCCCATCCAGATGCTGACATCTGCCTCTGGCGCTGACACCCCCCTCCCTGTCAAACTCCGACAGGCGCAGTCCCGCCGGCTGGGCGTGTTCCTCCGACCCCGGAGCGGACGGACCAGGACTGTGCCTGCCGGTAGCTCAGCCCCACAGACCAGGCCCCAGAGGGGCATCTTTGGGGTGCCCCGTCCCTGGACCGGAGGCGCTCCTGCCCTGTCTTATTCTGGCCTCGCGAGGGACCCTATTTTGGGAAGGAGCTGCTGGGGCGGGGCCGGTGACATCCCCGTTGGGGTGGCGATGGACAGGGATGGCACTTTTGGGGAGGCGGCGGCCCTGGTTCCCGGATTTCGGGGCCGGGCGCCCCTGCCCGCAGCCGCCGTCGGCGCTGGAGGGAGCGCAGCGCGCCCGGGGCTAGGGGGCGAGCTGGACCGACTTTTCCCAGTTCGCTCGCCTGCTCTGCCGCAGCCGCTCGGAGATGTCGAAAGCGCCGGCGAGTTCTAACTTGCGCGCTCATTCTTTCGACGGCGGGGCAGCGCCGGGAGCCAGCGAGGGCCCTGCGTGGCGCGGGCTCCGACCCCTGGCTGGGCGCAGGAGGCCGGCCCGGGGGCCACCAGCTTCTGCCGCTCTCCTCGCGGCAAACTATTCTCCAGACCTTCCTTCCTCTGTCCCAATTCAGTAAAACCTACCCTTAAAGGCAAACCTGCTTTCACACTCTGGGCACCCATTATGTGTTTGGTGTGAAACGCTATCAACATTTAAAACTCCATTGTCCCCCTAGTCCCAAATCCCTATAAATCTTCCACTGGCCTCGACTCATTTTCATCTGAAAAGCCTGTTTAGTTTGAATAGAAAAGCAATCAGGCGCCCCTCTCCCTCTCCCTGGAATGTCAATTAAAATGCAGATTTCTCTGAGCTCTTTAGCGCCCCGAGAAGGGGGAGAAAAACTGGATATTCCAGGCGAACTAATGAAAGAAGTGCTGCCCTGAGACGGGGTGCTGCGGAGCACCCCTAAACTGCTTGCAGGTGCCCGTTGGATTGCGAGCGTTGGTCGGGAGAGGACTGTGGTCCTGGGCCAGCCTGTGTTTTTTGAGATTTCGGTGTGTTGTAGAATTTCCACTCCCAGACTTGAGCCCTGGACACCTCCCCGCCCTACTGAGTGCTGGGGAGAAGCAGGGAGCCCAGCACCCTGACCTTGCCTGGCGCTGTTGACTTTCCTGATGTGAAACCTACCGGGCAACAAAACGCCAGGTGCTCAGCGTGGGGGAGCTGGCAGCAGATGGATCACGCCTTAGGTGGAAGCTCTACTTGGCGGGCACCAGTGGGCACCTTCTTGGAGGGTGGGGGGTTTGGGAACGTTCCGGTAAACTGAAGAGCCCAGCGCAGGGCTGGCATGGGGACCACTCCCTAGCCAGGCTCTTCTTGCTTGTCACTTTGCTTGTCTTTAGGGGCAGGCTTGTGCTGAGGTGAAAATGGACGGGGGTTTGGGGAGGTGGCCGTGAAGAGCCATCCATCAGAGGGAGGGTGACAACTCCTCCCGCGCAGGCTGAGAAGAGAGTTCCCTTTCAAGGGGAAAAATAAACACGCTGGGGCTTTCACTGGGGCTCAGACTCCAGGAAGGATTATGGTATTGAAGGCAGGAAGCCGGGATTGTGGCCGCCAGCAGCATGCTGGGCCTGTGTTCCCAACACGGAGCCTCGGGACCTAATTATCCTGCCTAGGAGGTCGCGCCATACTTTTGTCCACTGGGGTAAGGGACTGTGCAGACCTGTCGCCTTAGGTCTCCGCCTTCCAGAGATGTGGGGAGGGGGCTGCCCTGGGCCCGGAACCGGAAAGGGCCGAAAAGAAAAGTTCCAAGGCAAACCGGTGGAAATCCAGGGGCAGGGGGCTCCGTCCACCGTTCTCCATCTAGAGCTAAGGAGGCTTCTCTGGGCAGGGGTGGGTGGGTGAAGTGGTTGGTGAAACGGCCTGGGGCGAAACCTCTGTGAGGACTCTAGATTGTTCCTGAAGTCGTGTTCAAAGTAGAAAATTCCCCTGCATTCTGGAAATGCTTAGTAAATCAGTGAGAATGTTTGTGTACTTTCCTCCCACATGTATGTAGAAATAGATTTGGAATTATCTTTTGAGGTTCTTGATTTTAAGAGGAAAGAAATGTTAGGGGGAAAAAACCCGTCAAGCAATCTGAAAACACAGCAATCTGACAGCATGCACGTACACTTTTCTTGTTTTTGCTGTGAATCATACCGTTTTCGCTGGAGCTTTCTGTGCTGAAGAGGTTTTTTCTTCCTCCTTTGGAAATAGTGGCACATCTTTTCTGCCCTCACCCACTTTAATCCTCAGTCGAGGCTAAAACGAGCAATTTTCATGGTAGAGCTTTGGGGAGGCTCCAGCAGTGTTGAAATCCTATGTCAAAATTTGAAACATCAAGTCCGGTAAACAAAAATCGCACGATTTAGAGAGTTTTTGTATTAAAGGCCTCTCCACCCCTAATCTTCTAAAGTTTGTGCATTTTGACTTCACACGTAGCCACTGAGGTTACTGAATGAATTTAAAGTTATTTGGAATATTTTAAACTTTTTTGGAAAATTCTCTTTCCCTTGGATGAAATTCTTGAACAGAAGTGTAAGTCGAGTGCCCCCTTGTAACTTCCATGCTGAGATTTCAGCCAATAGGTTAGCGTACTCAGTCATTGGTCCAGTGGCATCCCATGACAGTAATTTACAGATCATCGTTATTAATAAACTCCTGCATTATTCACCAAAGTTTGCATCTGCTCTGCTTCTTGACCCCCCTGCAGAGACTGAAGACATTTAGGGGGCCTGGGCTGCCACTTAGTCACAGTGGAAGGGAGTTCAGGCTTCGAATACCTTTTTGGTTTGGCTGCTTTGAATGCATCTCTGTTCTGTTCATTCTTCCTAAGCGGCTGCCTGGCGAAACGTCGACATACGCTTGTGCACTTGAAAATGAATCCTGACAAGTGTAAACTGGTGGGAATTTTTCATAGCCTTCCTGGGATTCTTTTGATTTAGCTGATCTCTCTCGCTGCTTCCTGAGAACCACAGTGAGGGTGGAACAAACCGCTCAGCCCCAGCCCAGCAGAAATGCGGGTCTGTGAGCAGACGCCTCCCCAGTTTAGCTTTCTAAAGCCTGGTCGGACTGAGAGAAGTTAACGAGGTTGGCTATGCCAACCCGAGCATTTTTAACTTGCTTTTGTAGCTGCCCTTGAAACTAAGGTCACGTTGCTTCTGCTTTTTGAGAGCGGTAGAAGCGACAGCGGGTAGTGGAAGGGAGCGCACTTCTCCTAACCGGAGCGGCCGCGGGTATCTGTTGGCATCCTGTAGCTTCTGTTTTATCCTTGTCTTTTTTAAAAGTATGCTTTTAAAAAGATGAGCCTAACACGTTTTGTGGACCTGTTTGGTGGAGACACCTGGGACCCCGAGGCGAGGCTGGAAGGCTTTTGCAGAGAATGAAAAAGAACTCCGTTTGCACACATAGGAGAGGCTGAAAAATGGTTTTATTCCACTTGGGTTTCAGTGAATTGGGGAAGATTCCACTGACTCGCCAAATCTCTTTCCTTCTGTGACAGCAGAAGCAGTAGCAGTAGCAGCAGCACCTCGGTCCCTGAGCCCACCGCAGGCGGAAGGCATTGCTGGCAGTCCATGCGCGTGGAGGAAGTGTGCAGATGGGATTAACGTCCATATGGAGATATGGAAGAGGACCGGGGATTGGCATTGTAACCATGGTCAGCTGGGGCCACTTCATCTTCCTGGTCGTGGTCACCATGGCAACCTTGTCCCTGGCCCGGCCCTCATTCAATTTAGTTGAGGATACCACATTAGAGCCAGAAGGTAAGTTATTTAATTTCGCTTTCAGGGTACCAAGTTTGTTTTGGGATTTGGCTTGAGGGAAGTGGCACTTATGTCAAGGCCTGTTTTGGAGTCAGCTGCCCTTGCGTTGTAAATGCAGCTTATAAAAGCACCGGGAGAGGGTCTCTCCGCTTTCCCCGGGCCAGAGATTGTGAGAGAAGGTTCTTAGCTGCAACGCTGTAGGTGGAATGGTATAGTTTGCTGGTCTCTTGTTGTGTGTTTCTCTGTGCTGGGTGAGGAGGCAGCAGCAGTCCACCTTTATCCAGTGCCCAGGAGAGCTGTGGAAGGGACCGGCCGTGGGAGGGTGGAGGATGAATGCCCTCTGTAGTCTCCTGCAGCACCGTTCTTACTGGAGCGAGAGTCTTGCTTACAATGTGAAGAATTGCTATTTTCTGACAAAAGGAACCTGTAAGGGAAATTGCCAACATCTGAAATGCTGACGTCTTATTTTCATTGTTTAAGGAGCAAAGAAGGTTCTGAAGTTCAGCCTGGAGAGAGGCTTGACATATTAGATTTTTTTTTTAGCCATTGTAATTCATAGTACTTAAGCAATGCATCACAGAGTGGCAGCTTCTATTTTAGATTAACTCGGAAGTGAGTATGTCAGGGGGGGGTCTCCCATTTCTGGGAACTTCCAGATCTCACAAGGCAGGCATTGGTGTTTCAGCTTTGGAAATGTCGTTTTAAAGGTATATGGCTGGTTGTGAAGACTACACGAGGCTGAATTATTCAGCTGGGCAGATTTGGAGCCTCTGTCCCATGTCCTCTGGAGACAACGTTAGCCAAGCCTCTACTTGGTGCTGCATTGAAATCTGTCATCAGTAGGGAATATTGGTAGCTGAGTTATTTCTCGAGTGGTAATCCGAGAATAAAACGGCAGATCCTAGCACTCATCGCCACTTAATGAACCTGTTTGCTGGGAGCCCACCTGGTGCCTGCCTGGCTTTGGGTGCCTGCCTGGCTTTGGGTGCCTGCCTGGCTTTGGGAGCCTGCTGCTGTCCTGAGTGGCAACTGGGGTCAGCTGAGCTGCTCTGGGAACACATCCTGCGCATGGAGTGCGTGAGCAGCACGTTTAGCCAGGGGGAGGCTGGGGGAGGACAGAAAGCCCAGCCTCCTTAGCCCTGCCAGGGAGATCGGTGGAGCAGGGTTGTGTTCCATCCAAGCCGAGAGTTCTGGGAGACGTGGTCTCCCTAGGAAGACCCTGTGCGCGCGTCATTAAGGGATAAACACTGAAGCACTTATCACCCGAAGCAGTTCTGTGAGACTGGGGAACTTTTTGTTACACAGAGGCATGGTGGCTTTATAATTAACAGGTGTGGTGACATCGACCTACCACATCTCGGTCACTGGGAAGGGAATCTGGTAGGAGTTTGTGTCTGAAGCTTGTACAGGCTACTGCTCTAGACTGATTATGGAACTGCCTCTTTGTGACTTGTGCTGGGACATCAGGACGAGTGTAATTTGCAATGGTGTTGCATTTTTCAAGGGCTTAATGTGAAGGGGGAAAAGTTTCCAGTTTCCGAAAGTCATGCCTGTACTCTTTAATTTTGCTAATAATTAAAATGGATGTTTCCCTAATTGCTGGTTTTCCCTTGAGTATGTGGCGCAGCACAAACTGAGGAAGCTGAGCTGGGATTTCTTACAGCGTGGGCTTCAGGAACGGCCCAGGTTAGGAAAAAACTGTCATTTTTCATTTGGATTTTCAGGGCAGCGTTATTGTGAGTTTATTTCAACGTAGAGCATAAAATGGTCCTGGAGGATTTCTTTTACCGTCTTTAATTATTGAAGGAAGTTTAAAATGTGTGTGTACATGCAGGGGGAGACAGGCGAGGCGGAGAAGGAGGAAACTGGAAAGGGACGAAGCCCCCCAGATGGGTCTTTGAGTAAGAATTTGTATCCAACAATGTGCATACTGTTGGAAGCAGGTCTTCCCAGCCTGGATCTGCGGTTGCACTTAGGGGTCGGGGGAAGGTTCATGAAGTCCCTGAAATTGTAAGTGATGTTTTGTGAAGGTCATTTTGTGCATTTTTCTAGGTGCATAGTTTCCATGAGGTTTCTATCCATAGTTGTGAGACATTAAAAAAAAATGGAGATGATTTAGAGGAAGGTGCAAAATCCCACTAAGAGAAGGCTTTGGAAAAGCATGGAAAGTCCTAGACCTCAGTTTCCCTTTCTGTCATCTGAGGGTTTGATAAGATTATCTTTAGAGTCTCTTCGTTAATATTCAGTGACTATCAATATCCTCAGAAGCCTTTTGACTACCTACCTCTAAAGATGGTTACTAGATTTGAATTTGACCTGGATATAAAGAGCAGTTAGCACAGGGCCTGGTTATCTAATAAGCACCTGTTGCATGGTGTTGTCATCATTGTCTCCAGTGAGCTGGGAGCCTGGGTCTTTCCAGTCCTGTGGGCTGGCTCTGCCAGTTGCCACAGTGTCAGGAAACATCTAGGCTGTTGGATACAGTGGGGAAGAAAACAGCTGTGTTTGCTCTCTGTAGGGTCCATGCTTCTCTCATCTGTTAGTGTGATGCTGGCAACTGATTTGGGCCCTAAGACCACCAGTTCTTCCATTGCAGTTTTGCTTTGGTGTCAGAGGTGATGAGGAAGGTAATTGAATTATAGATGAGATAGTAGTTTTTGACAACTGGAAGTGGGCTGAGGTTTAGGCCCTGTGGCCTAATTGGAGTGTGTGTTGTCTGTGTGTCTGTGCCCCCATCTGTCCATCCTCTATGGTTAATATAGCTGTAGCTTTGGTCAACAGCAAGTTCAGCCCTGACCTACTGTTGCACAGGGCCTTATCTTGGAAGACTTTTTGGTTTGCTTATTTGGAAGCTGGGTTTAGATAATTTGTGTTGGACAGGAAAAAATGTGACTGAGAAGTTCCAGGAAGGAGCCTGGGCCCTAACACTCGATGATCCTTTTCTTTGGCCTTTTCAAGGAAAGGTTGTGTCTAGTTGTCTCAGCTTGGTACAATATCATATCATATATCATGTCATATCATACATGTCATTTGTCCTCTGGGCACTTGCTGAAGTGGTAACAGTGGGGTTGGGTCTACTCAATTGACTTAAGAAAACAATCTCTAGAAGATTTTCATTTTTAATATTTCAGATTAAAAATGATTATTTCCAGTTGGTCTTTTATTATTATAGGGGACCAACAGAAGGGTGGGGAAACACAGTTATTGACTCAAAGTGGGGGCTGATCTCAATGCTAAGTACTATTCTGTTGATTAATATACTAAATATTTAAAGTACAGTCAAGCTTGATTACCCTGAGCAACTCTTACTTTCAAGTTCTTTCTGACATTGTCACCTTACTCTGGTTAATTAAGTCACTGTTGACATTAACAGCATTTTTGTTTACACCAACCCAGTGGGAGCTAAAATGAAAGGGCTTTTCTAACCCAACACCCTTAATTACTTTCCCACCCTCCACAAAGTGTGATTCTGAAAAGCAACAACTGGGGGAAAAAAGTAGTTTGCATGCTTTTTTTTTAAAAAAAAAAATTCAATTTTTTTGGACAGTCTTTCAAGAGGTGATGCTGTCCTGGACCAGTATGTGTTGGTCCAAAGTTCAACAGCAGAGAAGTTGAGGATGGGATCCACATGGAGACCTTCCCAAATTAGACTTTTCCGACATGGTTTAAATCCTTTGTTAGAAGTATTGTAAATACCATAATATCAGCCACACGCATTTAATTGCAAGTTAAAAGAAAATAAAAAAGAATATATCTTCATACCAAGAACGAATGATTTAAAATAATCTTCTGTTTTATATTATCTGCATCTTTGTTAAGAGTTGACTGTAACTTGATAGTTAGCTTAGGAACAAGGACTTATTCTTGGTCAATTAAACCAAATGCAGGCTTATGTAGTTAAATACACAATGAAGTACACATTCTTTATTAGTATATAAAGTATTTCACAATTCATAGACAAAGGGCTGTGTTTAATATTACGTCTAGAGCAAAAATCTGGCAAGCCCAGAGAATTCGTATTTGTATCATTTCTATATTGGCTCTGGGTGTGTGTGTGTGTGTGTGTGTGTGTGTGTGTGTGTGTTGCCTGTTTATTTTAACCAGTTAAAAGATTGTGCACCTATTATGCAAAAAGCCCCCACCAGGCCATAACTGAAGACTTGTTCCGTGTCCCTATCCAGTTGAGGGTGAGAATTCAAATAACCAGAACAATCCAACATGAGATGTTTCTGATATGAGACTTAATGAATAATTACATGGTTATGAAATAACCAGGGTAGTGTTTAAACTGGAAGAGTTTTGTTTAATGTTCACATTCTCTATAAAATGTATCCACTAGACCTCCAGCTTGCAGACTGTTGTTTGTTTGGGTGTTTATTTAGCAGAAGACTATTGTTTAAAGGATACCAGCCCCCTTTAACCAGAGTCTAGCTTACTTTTCCATTTCAGCTAATTTTAGTCTTTAAAGGAAAACGTGGGAAATAGGTGTTTGGGGGCCGCCTGTTAAACCAGGTAGGAAATACAGCTGATGTGCGACTGTTACGGTTTGAGTCTTAGTAGGGTGACTTGGTAGGCAGTTCAGAAATTATTTTTTTGGTAGTTTGCTAGGTGATTCCACCAGATAATTCTGATCCAGTGGGTTTTATGTGGCTGTGCAGAAATGTCCCATGGTCTTTATTTTTAATTTTTTTTTCCTAAGGGATGATTTTAGCTGTAGATTTTGTATTCTTTTTATCTGTTTGTTATGTCCCACTGAGATTTAGAGATGGCTCTACTTCTTCAGCTTTCCCAGGATGGAAGTGCTTGGTGTTGCTAACTAAACCACACCATCTTCCTCCCTGACCTGTCTTCTCAGTGTAGTTTCTTTTAACTGATAGCGATGGTTGTTGATGTCTGTATGTGGCTGAACAGTGCTTATGTAAGGGCTGCAAGTTTAGCAGCTACCTGAAGGGGCGGGTTTCTGACCAGTTAATTATGTGTCAGTATCATTATGTCCAAGA